AGTCGAGTGAATTATCATGGAGATAATAATTCACTGAGCCAGAAGGAGTTCTGACAGGTATGACTCACGGTCAACTCGATATTAGGCCTAGAGGGTCACAGACATATGGTAGGCGTTGTGATGAGTAGAGGTTCGGATATGAGATATTTGCTAGAGCCCCTAACTTATTGGATATCCAATAAGCCCCTAAATTATTAGATCATATGGATGAGTTCCAATAAGAGCCTATAAAAGATTATTGGATAGAGATCTACTAATCTAAGAGGCTTGGATAATTGGATGCAGATCCAATACCTAATATAGGAGAATCTATTAAGGTTTGACGGGGGACCTCTATAAATATGAGGGATTCAGTGGTTAATAGGATAGAGTCTTTGCTTGCCTCTCCTATTCTCCTCCCCCTCTCCACATCAGAGAAGATTTGAAGTTTTGAGGAGAGTCATCGTAGCCCTACTATGTGGATCACCGCTAGAGAGGAGGATGCTTGACCTCCTTCACCCTCTTATAGAGATCTGTAAGGAAACAGGGATATACGATCTCCTTAGGTAACATAATCTATTCTATACGTAGTTTGTTTTGTGGATTTTTGCGCATCAATCTTCGCACGACGATGAAGATCTTTTTAGAAAATTGAAGATTTTGTTTTCTTATTCTTCTGCTGCATATGTGATGTCGTCCCAAGATTTCCCAATACAACTACCCTTACAACTCGATTCTCCTTTTGACAAGTTCAGAAGAGAACCTTTACAACCCCCTTCACTCCTCTCTTAAACAAGACTAACACTTAAGTTTCGAGAGGAGTTCACACAAAATTAAAACAGGATTTTCTTTTTCTTTGTGCTCTTAGTTATTATGTTTGTTAACTAGGGATGAGAGGAATATTTATAGGCCTCAAGTGGATTCAAACTTGGAACCTAAAAATATCTCATTCGGGGTTTCTCGGGTCTTGGCGGTACCATCGCTTGGGAGACTGTATCTGGCGGTACTATCGCCTGACACTGCCACTGGGCGATACCACTGCTTGACATGGTCTCGGAGATTATGCCACGACGATGCCACCTGTTGGGTCACTGTTTGGGCCTTCCACTTAGCCCAACATAGCCTAATCTTGGGCCTATTTGGCCCATAATTGAGTTGGCCCAATTCCAACCCAATTATGTGTTAACTATAAATTTTAAGGCATACACTAAGCAAATGATTCCGATTAGTCTAGGTCTCTTCCGACGAGCTTTCGACTATCTTTCGGTGAACTTTCGACGATCTCTCGGCAATGTTCCAACGGACTTCCGGGAAGCTCCTGGACTTCACGACGATCTTCTTAGTGAGTTTCGACGAGCTTATTTGGCAAGCTTTTGGACTTCTCAGTTAATTCCAACAGAACTTCCGACGAACGTCTGGACTTCCGACGAAATCTCAAACTCTCAACGAAATCTGGTTCTTTAGCGCATCGTTCTCTCTTTCGGCCTATTGCCCAATCGGCCAGTTGACCTCTACAACTCCGATTTCCTTGACGTAATTTTTGCTCTTCTTGGCCTGGTGCTCGATCCTATGACCCGAGGCCTTTTGTCGATATGTTGACCAATCCTTCGGCTCGACATCCAATCTTCTGATATATTTCTCTCCAACGCAACATAATTTTTCCTACTTTAATTGTCTCTCCCTGATCGAAACTTCCTACGACACCCAAAACGTAGATTAAATCATAAACACTCTCAATTGGTTTCATCATCAAAATCTAAGATTCAACACTAAGAGCTCCTTATGTCGACGATGATAAATAATTTCACATAATCATCTCGTGGATTAACTCTACCTTTCATTTTGATGATTACTATCCAATTTTACTATGAAAAAAACTTGAGAGTATATGATACTCCATGCATACTTTTATAGGATCATCTATCAAATCTTATATATATATATATACATATATATGTATATATATATATACATGTATATGTATATATATACATGTATAT